ATGTGACAGCAAAGTGAAAACCGAGGAAAATTGCTTCTGATTGACAGAACAAACGGGTAAAGAAAAAGTATCAGTCAGGTGTCATCTTCAGAGCTTTTTGTTTGTCTTAGGTAAATCACTCCCTTTCCACCTCTCTAGAGATGTTTGTGTAGAAGCAGCTAAGAGTAATTGACAAGCAGACATGCAGACAGAGGGATCCTTATTGGAGGCAGGGAAGAGGGGGGCTGCAGTCTAATGTTATATATATATATATATGCTTCCTCCATTCACTCAAAAAGAATACTTACTACGCAGTAATAAGCTTTTGCAAGGCAATCTATATGTTATAGAAGAGTCTTGCACAAGTTTGAGGAGGCAGAGTGGTGGCTTAGGGTGCTATAGTTATGGAAGCTAAGGGTGAAGTTTAGTGTTTGGGACAAGAAGATTTTTGTGACAAATGAGATAGCTCAGATACAGTAAGCTTCTTGCAAGATCTTGCCTAAAATTGTTTCTGTGATTGTACCAGCTGCCTTGGTCTAAAGAAATGTTTGATTCAGATCTCTTCAGCTGTAGAAAAGCATAAAAGTATTTTTTGAATCTGAGTTTTGAATTCAATTTTCCATTTGCTTTTCTCTACCTCTCTCTGGTAGAAGGAATGAATGAGGGGTTTAGGCTATTTTATGAAATAATTATTTGATCATAGGATCTCTCTATTTGTCCAGCAGTCCATCTGGGTGACTTGAGGTCCTGCTGAAGCCCTCAAGTATGGATCTCTCAGAGCTGTGGTATTTCTGTGGTTCTATGAAACCTAGCAGCTGACTAAAGAAAGACCCATGTAGTGCCCAACTCCATAAGAGCGGGATTCTCTTGTCACTGTGAGGAGTAGCTGGATGATCTTAGCAGTCATAATTCCTACATGTGCTGGCATTTGCTTCCACAAAGAGGATAAAAATGGTGGGGAGCTTGTGTGGGCATGAAAGTGAAGATGAGGAGATATGGTACCCACATCTTGTTTGGCTTCCTCATTTCCCCTGCTCCAGGTGTATCTTGGTTTTCTTTCTGTTTCCTTTGCTGCCTTTTCCGTTTGTTTGTTTATATCATCTGTCAAGTTTGTCATTATGGGTTCATGCACATAAAATCTTTATTAGCCATGCATATTCTCTATTCTCTGTTTTAATTTTCCTTCCTTCCTTCTTTGTTAACAAATTCTGCTGATTGCAGATGTTTCCCATTTGACAGCACCTGAGACTAAGGTTTTTCCAGCCACACAACCAGTTGAGTCCCGGCTCTTTTCCTCTGGTCACCCTGCTGTGCAGGATGGGGCTGTTCCCTGGTAGAAGCAGGGAATGAACCTGACCTCCCAGCCAAACCTGGGGTCACAGTCCTCCTTGAGATCAATAGAACAGAAGAGAAATAGAAGTTGAGCTGTGACCTTAGGTGTGGCTATAAACAAGGGTGTTCAGGGTCCACATCCTTGTGCTTATTTTTATCTCTTTGAAGCAACTGGCCAAAGGAGAGGTGAATCACGGTCAGTGGTGAGACTAAGAAGGTCCTTTGTGCTCTGTGTCCCACTTGATCTGCTTTCAAAAGCCCTTGAATACGTATCTACTTCTCACCAACTTAACCACAATAGGACCCTACTCTGAAAATATCAAAGAACGTATTTCCTCACTAGTTCCGAGGGTTAGTGCTGTCTCCCCTGTTGTAAGTGAAAATTGGGTAAAAGGAGTTTCAGGTGCTTTGCACCAGTTTTCCCAAGTCATAATGCTGTACTGATACCTTCTACAAAAGGACCTAGTTTGCACCTCGGGTTTTAATGATAGGTTTATTTCTTAAAATACACCTTGAACAGTAAAGGACCATGCAATTGTGTGGACATGTATTCAAGTTATGGCTGGGCACAGTGAACATCCTTCCCTGAGGATCATGGTGAGAGGAATGTCTCTGCACCAGTATCTCTTGAAATCCTTCCTAACAAATCCTTCCCTAGAGAGTCTTCTAAGAGATTATTCTGCCTTGGACAGGTGCAGTGAATAAATCATCTTATGGTCCAAGCTTTTTATGATCCTTTAATCTTACCACTTCTTCCAGAATATCAGTTTAAGAGACACCAGTAAAGCGTTTGCACTGTCTGTGTGGGAATGGCATAGCCTCTGTGCCCTCTCTGCTTTGCACTTCAGAAACCCTCCACGGTTTTTTGACCTGGGTTTTCAGTAGGGGTGAGAGTTTCTTCTCGGGATCTGGTGTCACCCAGCATTTGAACTTTAGTGGCTACAAAAGTGTAAACCACCACTTTTCCATGGGGGATGAATCTTTAAACAGTGAGTCGGGAAACAAAACTCTGGGACACCTTTCACTAATTCCCGGTTTGTCATTTGCTGCTTGGTCTGTGTCCTGGTTACATAAATAAATAGAGGACTTTCTTGGCCAATGTCCCATAATTGTTCCACAAGAAGGGTAGCTACAGGGAAATTAATAGCTGAGTCCACAGTAAAAAGATGCTCAATCAGTGTGCTTGTGGTAAAGCCCTTTTGAAAAGGGACTCGGATGTTAGCATATCTGAGACATTTATAAACTAAGTGGTCAGGAAGGCTGGAGTCACCCATGGAGGTGAGGGCTGGGTAAGAACCATGGTAAGGGACACTGGGGGGCAAGTGAGCAGAGTGGTCAGATAGAGGAAGATCTTGGAGGCAAGACCAAGTAGCTTGACCTTGATAAGATGGGGAAGAGGAGGTGGCTGAGAAGAGTCTTCTTGTTCTGCCAGAGCAGACTTTTTGTTTGCTGCCTGTCGCTTGTACCACGGAGGTGTGCTTTCCTTCTTCAGTTGTGTGCAGTTCTTCCCTCTTGAAAAGTTGCTTTCAGTGTCAAGCAACATCATGGTCTATTACGGTGTCATTTTCATGTTGCACGAACAACGCAAAAGCAAAAGATGTGAACGTCATGTCTCATTTACTCAGTTGCAGAGTCGTTCAGGGGCATCTTCTACTTGTGCTGATCATCTTTAAGCCGTAGATGGGCTGCAGTCCTGGAAATGCATCATGTATTTCTTAGCATTACAGCCACTATAGTAGTGAAGATGGGGACAAGTCCTGAAGGATACATCAGTGAAAGCCCCTGCAAATCACAAGATCTAGTTCTACTGCTCCATATAATTAGCGATTAAGATGAGTAAAAACAAAGCAGCAATTTTCTTATTGATCCCTCAGCAAATAGTTCTATTTTCTTCTGTATTGTTTCTTCTTATTAAATAGCCTTGAATAAGAAATGTCAGTCAAGTGAATTTAGATTCCTGGTGCTTTAGACAGAAATCAAAGCAGGATTGAATGAGGAAAGATAATTAGAGAGAGGAATTCCACCTCCACAGACTTCCTCCGTTGCTCGAGGAGTGCTGATTTTATCTAAATTGCCAAAGCTGTGAGCAAATGAGGGGTGATGGGAATTATAGACTGCAGACGCTGAGACAAAGCAAGGGAAGCTTCAATTAGTGCATTTTAAGGTAGAAATGAATTTCCTGGGAATAAATTATTTGACTCAAGACATACAGAGCTTCTTAGAGGCGAACTGAAAAGCTTTTTATCTGCCAGAACCAGAGTTCACATGTTGTATCTGTCTCATAGAAATGAGTGACCATCACTGGCATGTGAAACACATGGGGAAGAATTCTCCTTTCCTTTGCATCTGTTTATTTTAATATATATAGAGAAAGGAATTATCATTTCTGCAGATTCCCATCAATGCAACAGAAAGAAGATTTTTTCAATACCCACATTTTCTTTATCACTAACATTAAGTGTCAGTGATTGACCTGCAGTTGCTGAGGAATTGGGAATTGCGTATTGAACATACAGGTACTGAAAGGAAGTGATTTTCCTTTCAGATTCTCCTCTTATCCTCCTTTCTCAGCTCTGTTGTCATCCTTTCATCACACTTGCACACACGTAGGACACTGTGAACCTTAGAAACTGACCTTTACGTTTTTCAGCAGATTTCCATAGCTTTTCAAAGGGTGAGAGCGTGACAATTCTTTGTTACTCAGAGGTGGATAGAGATTCCTGTTTGAATTGATGGAGCTGAAATGGAACGATTTAGCTGGGTGTTTTAATCCAGAACTCCCTGACTTCAGCAGAATTATTCAAGCTCTTAATTATTCAGCAGAATTATTCAAGCTCTTTATATATTCTGTGTGAGGCAGTTGCTCACAAACCTTGTTGAAAACTGGGCAAAACTGAGGCCAGGACCAGGTCTAATGGTTATGTTATGGGAGTGCTTACAGACCCCTGATACAGGTACTGCACAAGCACAGAATAAAATGGTTTTGCCCCTCCAAGAACAACACTGTTCTCCTCTGTTCTGAAAAGTAGGAATGTAAGCACATTGAGAGGTTGGCAAATGGGCAGGCCACCCTGTCAGCACCTTTCCAACAGCTTGGGGTTTTCTGGCAATGGCAGTCTACATGAGATATGAGTATGCCCCATCCCTGGAAGTGTTTAAACAGCTTGGACAGGGCTTGGAACAACCTTGTCTAGTGGAAGGTGTCCCTGCCCATGGCAGGGTGTTGGAACTGGATGATCTTAAGGTCCTTTCCAACCCAAACCATTCTGTAATTCTGTCATCTGGAAAATTGCCCTGTCCGCCCTTCCTGGGATGTGCCACCACTCATGATCTTCCAAAAATCCAACTGTGCTTCCAGCCAAATATGTAAGATAATAACAAGTGGGTTAGAGCAGAGGGATGACCTAGTGGTTTCCGCTCAGTCTTCTTGACAAAGGAACCTCATGAAAGCCTAAACACCCCATGCCTGCTCTGGGAAAACAGGTATCCTGTTCGCTAGTTTGTCTAATGTTCCAGTTGCCTATTTCAGGTGTTGCTATTTTGTCCTATAGGTTAATTTATATTACCCGTGATGAATGAATGCAGTCAAGAGGTGTTGAACGCTAATGTGTTTATCTTATGGCAAGATAGAAATGTTGCAAACTTGTGAGCTACAGGAGGAAATGGGCTAATTTTAGATTTGTTCCTAGCCCTCGCCATGCGAATGGTGTCGCTGCGAGCCCAGCAATGAAGTTCACTGTGTTGTAGCAGACTGCGCAGTTCCTGAGTGTGTCAACCCAGTCTATGAACCAGAACAGTGTTGTCCTGTCTGCAAAAATGGTAAGAAAGTACCGTGTTGGCTTTAACAAACAGACATAAAGGAAACAGTTTATTAAAATGTTGTTACTGATGCATCGCCAGGAGATTTGCTTCCATCGGCACAGGGTAGTGGTGGGTCTGTTGCTTCCCCTTGTGCCTGGGCTTCATGTACAAGGTGGCAACTGTGAAAACTAAGGCTTCCCTTCCTGGCCTGTGTCTTCTCATTGAAACTGATGGGACTGCTGACTTAAGTAAGGCATTAGAGGAGTGAGTCCTGGTATCTGAGATAGTCGCTTCATATCTTTGCTTTTTTCTCATAATTCGTCTAACGTGAAATCAACTATATAACTAAAAAGAGAGTTTCTGTCCTAAATTAAGAAACCGATTATTATTACCTAAAACTAGGGGAAAATTCACAGAAATTGATGGCAAAACTTCCATTGGGGGTAATAAAACACCCACCAAGCCTGTAACATTGTTAGTTGTGTGATGGAGTCTGTGTGTGTAGTGTTGGCCCCCGTTGCCCGTCTGAAAAGATTTATTGAAGTCTAATATAGCAATACTTTCAAGAAAGGTTTTGGGATGACTGAAAGTGCCTCTTCAAAAAAGAAATCTGTTTCCAAGAAGGTCTCCCCAGTCTTGTACCACAGCCTGTATGCACATATGTCTCTGGAAAAACATCTTTCTAGTGCACATATGAAGCGAGATTGAAAGATGAGCTAGCATCACATAAACATCTTCATGGCTTTCTTGACATATAAGAAATAGCTACTTAGTCTCATCTTCTTGTGATTGGAATTCACTGTCCATATATATTTCCTCTTGCATACATCACCACTGCTGGATAAGAGTAATGGTTGCTTTTGGATCTAAATGAAAATGTTTAGAAAGAAATAACATTTTCAACACATTTTCTGCTCATTAAGATGGAGAAAAAGCAAAGAGTTGGAAATGCAAAATATTTTTACTAAAGGAATTGGCATAAATAATTCTAGTCTGGAAAATTGTACCCAAAATACTACTTGTAACCTTGAGGTTTATATTAAACAATTATTTTTACTCAAAAGTGTTTGAAAGGTTTTCATTTAGAGCTTTATGTTTCTATTGAAAAGCAGAAAATGTTCACAGGAAATGTCATTGGGTTGTAGTTGTGGATGAACTTAAGAGAAAAGCTGTGTTAACCAGCTCTGTCCACCACCTTCATGTATGTCCCACTGCGCTTGGGTGTGAGGTTTCCCATTGCACTCTGCAAGATTGATGTCTTGGGTTGATGACTGGGAGGGGTAACAGTGGCCATTGCTGTGCCTGTCACCACAGCTCAGATTCATTTACACCCAAACAAATGCCTCTTGTGTGTGTTTGGCCTCTGTGTTCCCATCAAGTACAGGGTGCCATGCTGAATGCCCCTCATTTACAGTGGCAGCACTTGTCAATTCCTTCCCATCTGGTTTGCTTCACATGAATCCAGCCTGTGAGCAGGCTTCCCAGGAGAGTATACTCAAAGGTGGCTTCACATGGGTCCAGGAGCTGCTGGATTTCCCTATCAACACCATGACCACTTCCTCTGATAACCAGACTCCCCCAGTTCAGGGGGTTGGTGGCTTTCTGTAGTCCCCAACATATCTGATGATCAGGAAAGGGCATCATCTTTCTTCTAAAGACAGTCAGAGTGCCCAGGTAACAAGGAGGACAGGGAAGGAAGCAGCTCCTACTGATGGGAATGAGGATGGGAGGACAGAAAGAAAATCAGACACCTGGTGAAGAGGCTCCAGGGCACAGTATCGTGATTGGAACTAGGAGCCAGGAGGCTTCCTCCATGGTTTTGCCGAATTTCTCCACTCCTGTCTTCGCTCATTAGTTGGAGGTATAGATATAAAATTGTCTGAAAACTATTTTAGGCAGGGAAGTATTTCTCACCATCCTCTTAAGAGCAGCCTGTATGCCTGATCTCTGGGGCCAGGGAGACCAGGGCTTGCAGCAACAGCGCCGACAGCTCCCTTCATCCATCCAACGGTGGGTGGAGAGGCGGTGCAGTGGCGTGGCTGTTCCTTCGGGGGTGCTGTGGAGGGGAGCTGAACGCTTTCTGCCGTCCCATCCTAGCTGTAGGTATGAAAACCCACAGCTGGCAGGGCTTCCTGCTCCTCCTGCAGAGCTGGAGATGACTGGCCAGGTTTGGCGTTACCATTTGCAAATGAAATTAAATCATTCACACGATGTTAGAAGTCAGTAGGCACCAACATAGTCTCCATTGTCACAGGGAATCTAATGGGCAGGTTTTGTTACTGCTCTTGGATGTGGCTCCAAGTGTGGCGCACACCCCTTGCCTCCCTCCAACATTTTGGGAACTTCATGTGAAAGAGTAGCAGACGTTGCTATGTCTCTTACCCCTGTGAATCCCTCTGACACTACCTAATGAATGAGGATCACAGTGCTTTAAGCTGTCTAGTCATCTTGAGACCAGAATGTTATCTTCAGCTCTCCGCTGCAGCCAGCCAATTAAAGCTCAGTCTTACAAATGCATGAAGATAACAAAAGCTGACAGACCCACTTAAATGACTGAAAATCCTTTTTTTTCTTTTTTTAATTTATTTGTTTTTTTCTTCAGTCCAGTAGCTATTGCTTTCTCCATAAGTGGTGAAGGCAGTTACAGTGCCGTGTTTCAGTGTGATGAAAAGATTTTAGCTTCATCTCAGTCCCTGCAGTCATCATTTTAGACTGGCAAACAGGAGAGCTCAAGGGATACAACTTTTGGGTGGATGGGGAAGTTAATCCCTAGAACAACATGTAGTGCAAATCCTCATTCCAAAAGCTACTCCTTAAAATTTTGGTAAAGATCCTCGTTTTAGGTTAAAACACAACCCTGCGTTTGCTGCAGTCTGCTAGCAGCATAGCTTACCTTCTTGTTTAGCTTTTGCTGCCATTAATGGAAGAATAATTTCCTCTCAATACATTCAGAAAGTTTTTCACACCATTCTTAATTATGTCTTGCCAAGGGCAAAAGTGCTGTGAATCAGTGAGCACTGGCACAGGGTGCCCAGAGAAGCTGTGGCTGCCCATCCCTGGCAGTGTTCAAGGCCAGGTTGGACAGGGCTTGGAGCAACCTGCTCTAGTGGAAGGTGTCCCTGCCCATGGCAGGGGGTTGGAACTTGATGATCTTCAGGTCCTTTCCGACCCTAACTATTCTATGATTCTACGATAATGCAAAAATCTGTTGAATCTAACATACCTGACCTGAAGATACATAAAAAGCCAATACCAATTTCCCTCCCCCTACCATCATTTAAGAGCAGTCTGAACAAGTGGCTTTGGAGATTTATTCCTTACTGTCAAAGGAAACTGAAGTGTTATGTTGTGCTTCACTAAATGCTGTAGCTCATGCAAAGTTGACTGTGCTTTCAAGGAGTACTGCATTACACCTGGAACAGGCACTGGGAAGCTAAAATCTGGGGGTGAAGGAGAGAGAGGATGTTTTCTTCTCCATGTCCCATTGTCCAGTTTGTCAGAGTAGATTTTAAGGTCGATGGTTTCAGATGACATGCAGTGTTTCTATCATGGAGATGAAAGGTCACTGGATTTCACTTTTCCTGGTAGTGGCAGACTGCAGAATTATGGCCCTGAGTTGTTATTTCGAGTCATTGTGACTTATCGAGACAAAAGTGTGTCAGCTATTGTTAACTCTCTCCTCTGCAGGATCTAAAACTTGCCTGTCAGTGGCAAAATCAAGCTCAGGGCTGCCACCATCTGTGCTATCCCTCCTGCCCCCAGGTTCTTCTGCAGTTCAGTGAGAACATCCATCCGCTCTGCTTACACCAAAGCCTGTCAGAACAAAAATCCTCCATGTAGTCCCCATGCTTCTGGGACCAGGGCTGCAGTGGTGTTAATCATACCTCCCCTCCATCTTTTCACCTAACACTGAACTCTTCATTTCTGACCCTCTGCTTTTCCCTCCCCATAAATTCATCAGCCGCTGAGGGCTGAGCCTTGTTATTGGCGGGACCTGTGGTTCTTAAAGCCTTCCCTTACACATCACTGCAAGGTTGCTCTTTACATTTCCTTCAACCCTTTGGTCATGGTCTGGCAAGGATGCAGGGATGGGAGGGGATCCCCAGTGTATCATCATTTGCATCGCTCAATCTAGTTTAAATGGGTTCCTCTTCTTTGCCAACTGCAAACAACTCTCACCTGCTGCTGTGCACAAAGGAAGAAATCCATTGTGTTTCAGCTTCCCCAGTGCTGTTTGTTCAGAGCCAAAGAGTGCCCAACGTGCTCTTTCTGAGGGGGTGAATAGATGTGCTCCAGCAGGAAGTCCCCAGTTGGTCTTGGAGGTCCCTCCTCTAATGCTGTGCTGACTTAGTGACACACTGATCTTTGCCCACTGCTCTTAGAGGAGCTCAGCTTCATGCTGCTTGTGCATCTATCCATTGTTTGCTGCTCTTTGAAAGAAAAAACAGATGCAATTTCAAATTAGAGGCCTCCCAGCTGCTTGGGGAAAGGCTGGAGGTAAGTGGAGGCAAGGGAAGGGCAGCACAGGGCTCTGGCAACCCATGTTCTCCTGATTTTAGAAAGTGGTCCTTCAGAATCGTACCCAAAAATAAGCTCAACATTAGCAAAAATTCACCATCATGGGAAATTTTATGGCACAGCTGTGTCAGGGAAATTAATTTAAAAATTCTAACAAGTGCCACAATAGAGTTGTTAACTTCTCCTCTCCAAAGTGTGAAAGCGCTTTCAAAGGCGCCTTCACCCATTTACACATACATTAACACAGTTGCTAAAATAGGCTTTGCTGTGGCACTTCCATTTTCTTGAGGGATGAACAGAATAAGCATTATAAATTCCTGTTTGGGGATCTGGTTTTGCTTCTACTTTAATTTTTGTTGCCACTGATCATCAACAAAAGAATCCTTTACCCAACAAGACAGATAAAAGCGAACGTGTCTACAATGAAATACTTCCTGGCAAGTGTGCTTCCTCACATTAGCATGGGCTTCTGGAGACATTTGTGATGAAATACTGGGCAGCAGGAAGACGTTTTGTAGATATTCTGTCACTGAGTCTTTAATTAAAGTTCTAAATTATCACAGTTGATACAGATTTCAAGGTAGACTCTGATCCTACTACCCTCCACAAAGAAGTAAAAGATCCCTTTGACCTTCAGCAGATTTTATCTTGGTAAAACAGCATGTATGCAGGCAAAGCTCTTATGGGTATTTAATTTAATATGCTATAAATATTAATAATTCCATACAAATGTCTTCATCTTTGAGGCCATAAACACAAAAGTGAATAAATAATAATTTATTTCCATGCATAGAAAGCCGCATTTTACCTAAGCTTCTCCTTAATTTATTGAGAATCCAAACTTGCTGCTCATTATTTCTCTGTTTGAGTTAATTTGCAATAAGCATTCTGTACCCCAGCCTGTTCCTTCAATAACAGTATGTTTTGCTCAGAAAACCCCCAGGGATTTTCCCAGCCTGTCGATGCTGAGGGCAGCCTTTGCTTTAGCAAACAAATATATGCTACATGTGTCCTGGAGTGAATTCTGCATGCAATGGCAAAAATGTTATACTCTGCAGAATAACACCCAGGGGCTGACCTTCAAGGCTGCCTTTTCCTCACAGAGGGGTATGTAGAAATACCTTTCTTCTAGTGGGAGATTTTTGGAAGCTCCCAAATGTTAAAGGAGTGTCCCTTTGGAAGAGCTCTGCCATGGACAGCGAAGGGAATTTGATGCAGTCCCGAGGTCAGGTTGTTCCCATCCTCCCCAGCCACATGCTGGGTGAAAACTGGTTCAGGAACTTCATTTCCGTTTATAAATGAAGCAAGGTTAGTACTGAATACCACTCGAGTGGGTAGACTTCCCAGGAAAATCCAGATGCCACCAAAGGAGGTGCTGGTGATGCAGTTCATGATTTCTCTTCCTTCCAAATCAGGGACACAACCAAATCAATTCCCTGGTATTATCTTAGGGGGTGTTTATTTTGCAACACCCTTTGGGATTTGGAGGGATATAAAGCTCCATATAAATGTAAATTATTTATTGTATTTTAGGTGAAGGTAGTGGATTAAAAGTGCATGTTATTAACCAATATTGACAAAAAGAACTTTCCCACATGGTCTCTATTGTTCCAAATTATCAGCTATCTTGAAAAGTGCCAAATTTTAATACCGAATAATCCAGTGCGTGGATATTAAGTTACCTGTGCTTCATTGCATAAATAGAGCTTGTTATTTATGGTCAAGATGTGGATCACTGACTCTCCAGGTCATTGTTTTGGAAAGCATCTGCTTCTAACATGATAAGTAACAAAAAAATCAATGAAGTGTGGAAAAAATTGCTAGAAGTTTGAGGAAAAAAACAGGAAGGTTTTGGGGAGAGGATGTTTTCTCGGCCATTTGGTTATATACAACTGTTGCAGGATAAAGGTGACACAGAAAATGTGGCAAGAGGATGAGAGAAGACTTCATGTTCATTTATGTTTTGGAAAACAGTGGTTTGGAGCCATGGGGCTTTAGAAAAAGCCCCAACTAAATAAAATTCCTCTTCTAATTTATTTCAGGAATTCCTGAAATGGCCAGATTTTAAGATTGCAGTTAAAACCCCTTCAGTCAAAGTCTATGCAATACGCTGATTGGGTGTGCAGATGCAAGTTGAGTGTGACCAGCCAAGAAGATGTATCCCCCATGCTGGACTTTGGTGGACTCCACAATCCTCTTCAGAGGTCCCAGAGACTGAAGCTGGTAGCCTAGCATAGCAGCCTCACCCTTTGTTCTTGGTGGATAAAGTATTCATGGCAGCCAGACAGGTTTTTGGGTACTCAGTTGACCCCACCACCCTGTTCAGATCTCTGAGTGGTCACAGGAAGGACCTGCTCCTCTTCAGGCAATGCTTGCCCAGCGCATGGAGGCTGATGGTTGTGTCATGGCTGACTCCTTAGCACTGCTGTGCTGATGCAGAGATGCCACCCCTGATCAGGAGTCATCTTCCAGTTTTGCAGAACCTGTAGAAGCCATCTGAACATTGCAATGACAGAGCCCAGAGCACCAAGACTTCGTGGCCAGCTGTGAACATCGATGGTCTTGGAAGGCTGAATACAGAAGAAAATTCCTGAGACTACAAAGGATGCATTTTTGATGGTTTGAAAGCTAGTGTTCTTTGTATTTACCAGAAGGAATGTAAACTGTGGTGCCCTATTAGCTTAATTAAAGGACTGATTTGATTACCAACAGAGGGGAAAGAAGGATCAATTTAAGCAGTGGTAGACGATCACGACTGAAAACAAGGTGGTATATTTGGCCAAGAAGTCACCAGCCTGACAAAATACTTCAGTACTTACTTCACTGTTCCTTGAAAAATGTCATTTCCCTGAAGTTGGTTTTCAGTGGAGCTCATTCACCTCCATCACTCTGGGCTAAGTGATTAAAGGCATGTAGGTGCTGAATTAGCTGATAAGAGTTAGGTATGTAAGCACCTGTCAAGAGCTAGCTCCTCCATTGCTTTTGGAAATCTCCAAAGAGAGATCCAGTTGGATTTATCTGGATGCTTAAATGTCCTGCTAACTCAAAACTATACCCTGCTCCCTGTGGACACAGCTGTTGGAAGAGTCATCTAATAATGGTGAAAAGCTTTGGAAAGGTATATAGAGGTTACACCTTCCAAAACTGGTTATCCTGATGCTGGATTGCATCGAGGAGGACTGAGTTGAATCTGCCACCTCCTGAAGTTTAGAAGAAGGAGAGACTAAAAGAGGCAAGTGAGAGGAAAAGCCTTTAGAGAACAAAAAAGACATGAACTGAACAGTGCTTAATGTGATTAACTCCATCACACAGCTCAGTGCTCACACAGAGTAGAAGCTGCTGGACTGTGTAGCCTCAGAGTGACAGGGATGCTGCCAGGAAAAGCTCCATTCAAAGAGTGCTGTGTAGGGAGCCAGCGGGACAGCAGCCTCTTTGACCAGACATGTCCATCTGCATGCTCACAGGTCAGCTAATGCTTCCCAAGCATTTGTGATCTCTTCCTCTGCCCAGGAAACAAGCAGAGGATAATTCACATATTAAACAAGGTGGAAGAAGACTCTGCCAGACAGCCAAAAGCAGTATAGGAACTGAAAGCCACTGTCCTGCTTATGTACCCCAGGCCCTAACCATGTTTCCATGCTTTCATCCCCGCAGAGTCCAAAATGAATGTCTACAGGCACCCTAAGGAGAAGGGTTTGGGAGGATTATGAAAAGTCATTTCTTGGATGAGACTTGTGCCAAAGTTCTCATTGAGCAGACACAGCTCACAGAGACGTGGGAAGCACATTACATCGTCTCTGCATTGCTCTTTAAACTCAGAAATATTTATGAAGAAGCATTTGCTCATCGGTGACTGTTTCTCCTTGGGAAAAATGTTGCTGAAATTTGTGTGCACAAGCCTATGGCAGGGGTAGCTCAAGATCCACTACAATCATGATAGTATGTTGTAGAGGAGGGGATGCGTTTGGGGTTCTGGGGAGAGGGAAGAGTTCCTAGATTCAGGTTGGGAAACCAGGTTCCTTTTACAGAACACAGGCAGCCCAGGTAGGACTGAAATTAAAGCAGGAATGGGTCTGTGGTGTAACTTGAAAGACCAAAAGTGACGTTATTATCCAATTACTTTGCTGTAAGCCATTTTGCTGCAAGAGAAGCCTAAAGCCAAATCCTGAGTACGTGTCACTTGGTGTAACACTGGCTGTGTTGTTTTACTGTGATTTGCTCTAGCTGAGGATCGAACCTGAAGGAGCTAATATCTGTGTGACTCACAGGCACATTGCAGGAGGCTGGGGTGTTTTGCATGGTCAGGCTTTCTAAAAGGATTAGAGATGGGTTTGCTTTTGCTGCTCTAGAAGGTTGGGATTATTAAGCCTATCTATGAGAAGAGTGGCAGGCTCTGTCTTCATGTATTTCTAATTTAATGAATGTTTAATGCTTCTTTTATTGGAGCCTACATATATGTAGAGTAGAGGACTTGAACAAGGGGTTGACTTATGTCAAATAATTGATGTTTGAGCTGCTCCTTTTACATGAAATGCAGACTTTACAGAGCAAAGAGACTGTAATGAAAATATGAATTAAAGATTAGAGCTAAGCAAGTCTGAGAAAACTTAGAATTGAAAAAGGCACTTAGAAGTTTTCTCCTCCCGCTTCCTTTCCTTCCCTGCACATTTCTGTGTCTTTGTCCCTCGGAAGGGTCCTGTATTTCAAGCATAGCCTTCTGCCTCTCCTACACCTACGCACCTTTGCAAAGGAAATTGGTGCAGTAATCTCATTCTGGGTATTACTGTATGTTTGCACATCATCCTAGCCTGTTATGCTTGCCAACTCACCAATTAGTACAGCTAGAGAGACTAAAAAGCATTTTTAAGGTGCGTTTTTTCGTCATCTCTATCCCTGATCTGCTGACAGAGTGCAGCTCCTGGACAGAATGAAAACAAATGCAAGTTTAGTGGAACCATTTGCCAGAGGGACTCATAGTTTGTTAACAGCATGTCCAGGTGAGGGTAAAAGAACGTTCTTTATACATGGCAGCAGAACTGCTGTGTGACAGTGGTTGAGCTGTGCTGCCTGAGAAGGTTCCTGAGAAGGTACAGTCTTGAGGCTGGTACAGTGCCAAGCCTGCCAAGAGATACTGCCTGTCCCTGTTGTCCAGAGACACTCTTGTGCCCATAATCATCCCTTCCACCCCCCCTTGGCCCACCTCCCTCTCAGTTAACTGTCTTCATACTCTGGCTTTCCACAACGACTTTGAGCTCTCGGTGCAGTCTACAAGCTTAGCACCATGGCATTGCTCCTGCAGCATGAAGCTTTTCCCACCTCACTTCCTGTAGCACAGGCTGCAAGGAACTTGTCTGGTTAGTGGGGTAATTTCTTGCTTTCTGTGTTTGTGTTTAGAAAACCCTTCTGCAGCGTCGATCTGAATTAATGCCTAAGACACAAGAGCTTAGGCTTAGTCATCAGCAAATAAAAGCCCGGTGGAAAAGAGGAGATGATGCTGCTTTCTTTTCTGTGGCTGATTGGGTTAGTGTGGTTCGGTTCCTTGCGCCTCTGGCTATATTGGTACAGCTAAATAAAAGAGAGCTGGGCAGAGAACTCACCGAGGGGACCCTGATTGTCAGCACTTTGTAATGGGTGGCACACCTAAGCTGCAGTCACCCAGTGCTGTTTTAGCAGGCTTTGTGTGCTCCTCTGCCCACCTGTGTCTTCATGTCTTCACCCTAACCCAGATGCTAAGGGACCCTCACCCCACTGGGCTGCAGGGCCACCCTCCTGCTAGCTCAAGCACAAAAAAATGCATACAAAATAGTTACATCTTAGGGTGAAGAGGGCAACTCCTCATGTGCCCTCTGGAGGATGTCTGGAGGTCCAGAGGAGGCCCAAGGAGAAGTGCCATGTGGTGAGGATGTGGCCGGATTTTGCCATGTGGCATTAGAGCCAGAGGAGTCTCATGCCCTGTTTCATTTTGCAGTATGGGTGTGCTGAGTCCCTCTGCAAGAATTGCTGCCACTGAACTCTTACCCCTTATTATTTTTCCCTCCAAAAGCACTGAGCCACCAGGAGGCATTGTGTATTGAGACATGACGTGCGGAGCTTACACGTGAAACAGGGGCTGGGGAGGAGAGAAGGCAGGGAGAAGGGCAGTGCTGCACCCCAGGTGATACCATAAGTCATTAGCAAAGACAGTCCCATGGTCCTCCTACCTTCTGTGTCCTGAGGACGTCCTAGTTTTTTGCTGGATGGAAGGAACCTGTCCTTTGAGGGTGTAAGTATGTACTGAGTGGGTCTCATTGCAAAACATGGTCACTCTTAGCCACCCTGTGTCAGCATGCCTGTATTCCTTATCATTTTTCGTTGTACACAGGTTCTTGAAACTTAAAAAAACTAAAAATCAGAATTTGCTCATGGTAGAAACTCAGAAAATCAGGCTAAAACCCCCTTTGAAATAGTATGGAAAACACAACAGACTGGCAGTCTTATTAGGGATGCCTGGCAGTGTTCAAGGCCAGGTTGGATGGGGCTTGAAACAACCTGGTCTAGTGGAAGGTGTCCCTGCCCATCGCAGGAGGGTGGAACCGGATGATCTGTAAGGTCCCCTCCAGCACAAATCACTGTGATTCTGTGATTCTAACAGAGTTTTACATCTGCCTTATCTGCGATGAGCTCAGGATGTACATGATCTAATCGTGTACATGATTTAACCTTATTCTTACACAAAAGATGTCAACAGCAGTTTTCATCTCCTGGGAAGATGGAAGGGCAATCAAAGCTCCCCTAAGGTATCCCAGAGCAACTGTATCCTCATCACACGTATCCTACAGCATGTGAGCAGAGTTTCTTATCTTGTGCGTGGAAAGTTTATTCTTTTCAGGTGAACTCTAGGGCATACATATTCCACTTGTACCCATTTCTGAAATTATAATGGTCACAAGGAATTCTGTAAGCACTTTTTAGGGGAAAAAAAAATAGATATGGATGAGTCCCACAGCTGGTATAACACATTTTCTGTCAGCTAAGCCACATTCTTGTCCCAGTTAAAAGTGTTTTGTGCCATTAGTGCTGGCAGGGAAGCTCACGTTTGTTAGAATAAATGAAGCAGGAGCTGATGCACCAAAAAGAAAAGTACTTATGTCCTGCACAGGGATCTACTGAGAGAAATGGGTCTGTTTGAAGATGAGCAGCCAAAGTTCTTCCTGACCTTTCAAAACTCAGACTTTTTTCATTGCAGCCAGTTGAGAGTATTTGAAGAAGATGGGAATATGTTGGTCAGAAAATGCTGACTTACTGAAACATCCATAAGAAATAGGCCAATTATAGCAAACTTGCTGTTTGTACATTAAAAAAGGTCAGGAAAAAACCTTGGAAGGATCAAATGCCATAGTTTAATGCTTTCAAAATTAACTCACTTAAATCTGGGAGGGAAAAGGGGGTGACATGGTTTTGGGTGTAGATCTTCAGTTTATCATTTCAAGTAGGAAAGACAGGAAACAAAGGAGCTTTTTTTCTCAATGAATTATTTCAGACAACCTGCTCGGATCTTTATTAAAATCAGAAAGTGTTTGCAGCTTTGACATTTTTTCCCCATTTGAGTAAGAGAGGAGTAGCAGAAATAGCTCCCCATTGTAATGGGAAAGAAACACCCTTCCTCCTTGCCAGAGTAAGTGGTCAGCTCCAGGATGGTATTAATATACTCCTCTGGGGTTAGATGCCTTTGGGATCACCACCTTCTATGCCTGGTGGGAGAGGGCTGCTGGCACCCAGTGCTTCTTGGAAAACCCTCTGCACTTTGCACGATGAGGTCTGCAGGCTTTGCTATTTGCAAAGCTGTTTGCACTTTGGATTGCACTTTCTTGTCTGATTGAAATGGATGGGAAATGTCAGGAGGTGGGGGTGGAAGAGCCCTCGTTCAATACTGCTTCAGTATTCCTGAGTCTCATTATCTCTGGTCAGTGCATTTGCCTGGTTTCTGGCTTGTGAACCAAAATACCAGTGTGCTTTCATGCCATCCCCTCTCAGCTCTCACCACATACACTCAGGACTACAAAACCCAGGGAATGAATAATCCCCCCCTCAGCTCCTTGGGCTTGCTTGTGCCCAGGGGCTGGGGAACACACTGCAGCTGACATGCAGCGTGTCAGTGCCAGCTCGGTCTGCAAGTCAAAGGCTCTGATTTCACAAGGCCAAGCCAGCATTGGGTGTTCCTTCCAGAAAAGCCTCGTTCTCCGATCTCTGACTCATCGCAGCCCCCTCTGACGTCCAAGGGACTCCTTCTGCATGAGGATTATTCATCTGAACTGAGTCCGCAGCAGCATCCCATGCGTCATCCCTTATCTCCCAGCAAGCAGAGGCCGGCAGTCGCGCCAGCACTGTGGGCACCGGCCCCTTTCCAACAGCACAGCAGTCGCAGACCTGCCCTCTGGGTTATGGATCGGGGCAGTGGCTGCCAACTACTGATGACTGAATTTAGCTTGGTTTCATTTAAGTTGCTGTGGTTGATGCGCATGAGGCTCTGGTACCCTCACTGTGCTACAAGGAAAGAATCAAGAGACTCTTTGGTTGCTTTTCAAGCTGTGTCAGACAAAAAAGAAATGTATTACAGGAAATGTCAAATGGTAATTAATAAGGACTTGGAAAACTGTGATTAAAAATGGAAACCTGTCTGCAATAATAACAATTAGATATATTTGCTATATTGTGCACTGAAATCATTTTTTTTCTTGGCTGCATTCGTGCTCTCCTAAGAGCAAACACTGATCCAGTTCGTGAGACTGGCGTAAGCTGGCCTGACTGCCTTGCTCCGAGGGAAATACCCATGCTTTTTCAACAGCTGAGGATTTGCTCCCCTCTGTCATGTGTTCTAACAGCTTGACAGTGAAGTTGTTACAGCAAAAAATAGCGAGAGCCAGTTCCTGCACCCATATCAGCTGGCCTCATGCCCTCCA